AAAAAAAAAAATGGTTTAACTACGTCGCTACTTTTTTTTTTTTTGTTTTTTTGTTTTTGTAATGCCAAAGATTTGGGTCGGACGACGCTAAACGGAGAAAAAAAAAGAGGATGACCTTATTGGTTGAAAGAAAAGGTCTCCTAACACTTTCGGTATAAAGACAACACGTCCCCTATAATTTTCTATGAAAGCAAGGCTACTTCATGTCCTCGAACGTTCGCTTGCACCCATGAGGGTAGCTAACACTCTCGGATCAGACGAAAAAGCCACCTAAAACTTTCGTGACGGCAAAAGTTCCCCTAAGACATCCGACCAGCTAAATAGTTTTTAGGGCAACTCTAAATTGACCAAACAGGCCTCTAAAGCATAGAGAAAACCATCTGAGACACTTAGGGCGTATTGGAAACATACAAACGTTGGGTACCCCTGCAAAGGATGCACTGAAATATGAAAACAGCGGGATATCCTCGTACATACTAGCTAAATGAATATTCTGACCAACTAAATAGTAGCAGGCCGATTGGGATTAAGGTATGAACGTTTTCAAGTTAATTGATGTAAGGATAACAACAATGGCTTACCTATTCCTCTGGTCAGAGTTTTCAGGTACTCACAATTAGTGATGATTCTGCGAACGAGGACTGGAAATAGACAAAAAAATTCAAGATTCAAGTTTAAAATTCATTTAGCACCGACAACAGCGGATGTACTAGTATACTACAGCCACAACTTGAATAGTACAGGTATAAATTCACCAAATCTATAATCAAACGACGACTCAGGGATTATTTAGTAAAAGCGAATGCCTTCAATAAGCTTTAGCTTACCAGCTTTTGTGAAGGACTGCTCAAAACTGTAACCCTGGACCACACAGCGCTGGAGCATGACCTTTCTCTACCCCAGTGCTTACGCTTCTGACTCCTTCCCTCGCATTCATGCGCAGAAGAGTTTTGGGGTCGAGATTGGCGAATGACGAGTCACCTATATTACGGCGCGTTGCAGATCGGTTCGACTTTTTTTCTATTGTTTTGTTTTGTTTGGTTTTTATTGGTTGTTTGTTTTTGTTATTGTTGTTGTTTTTTCATATCCAAGATCCGTTGAACGTATACGTCCAAATATTCGCCCCTTGCAAAGAGCTCCGTATTCCGGAATCCTGAACATTTTGGCTTGTGGAATGTTCTGTTGCACTTTGTAAAACCTATCGCACTTTGCAAGAAAATTGTCGCACTTTGCAATTAACTTGAAAGAGATGATGAGAGGATAAGTAAGGCCAATAATAATAAGCATCAACATCGGCAACAACAACAACAACAACATTAATAATAATAATAATAGTAATAGTAATAATAACAACAATAATAATAATAATAATAATAATAATAACAATAACAATAACATTCCACTGAACGGTTTTCAGCATCAGTTTCTCAAGTGGTGTCGGAGGAAAGTGATCACATCAACTGCGGCCTTCTGGCTTCAAGATCTTTGTAGGAAAGTACAAGTCTTTCTATGCTGACGACCTCGAGACCATCAGATTGTTGTTGAAGAACCTTTCTGGGGAACTAGCTGGTTCTCACAACAAACAGGCGATTATTTTGTTCAATTGGCTCCTTTTTATTCTTTAGTCCAATGTCACGAAGTTAGCTCAACTCCTATTTTACAATTCTCTGCGCTAAATCAGTGTTATGCCCATTTTAAAATCAGCCAAGGAACCAGCTGCTTAGCGCAAACCGAATGCTGATGTAAGCTTAATCCGATTGGTTAAAACAGTCTCATGAGCATCAAACCATCGAAGATGATTGGCTAGAACTTCTCAATAAATTAACCACGGACGTGATCGCAAAACTTAGAGGATAAATTAAAAATGCAGTTCAAGGTGCAAGACAGAATTTAGAACAATAGTTGTTTAACAACAAAAACACCTATAAAATCACTTAATTAAAGTTATCCACTGCCATGATTTCGGTTAAAAACTCAAAGAAACACGCTTAAAACTGTTAAAAACAAGTAAGGTGGTTATTTCCTGGTAAATATCCACGGAAGACAAGATCAAGGTCAAAAGTGTTCAACTGAACAAAATACGTAATATAAACAAGGATTTGCATCTGTCAAAGGCTCTAATT